GTTACGTCTAAAATCTCGAAAATAAATGATGGGAAAAAAATTCTACCTACGCCACTGAATTCTTCGTAAAAAGTTGCCCATATAATGTTTTATTTATAATACTCCATCTTTGATAATAAGTGAGATATTCGCGATTGTCGTTTTCGCAAAATTTTCAGTTTTTGTCGATAGGGCGAAAACAAAAGACGATAGCTATTCGGAGTTTTCGGCATTAGCATTTTCTCGAAAAACGAGATCATGACATGTAAGCTACTTTTTTTCTATCTCTTTTAGTTTCGGAGATAGCCTATGCGGACATCGAAATTGGGACACCCTGTACATTAGAGTTGTTTTTACATGTGGTATTACAATTTTTACTCTAATTCTTTTTACCAACTACTCTAAAATTGTTACACGACACCATTTTTTCCTGTGTGTAAATTATTAGTTTTTGAATGGTAGAAACGAGTTTTGAAAATATCCTTTAGTTCATATATAGATGAATAGATCAATCTAATGTTAGATTTTATTGTTTAAAAGTATTTAATAATTATGAAAAGAATCGAAAATAATCAAAATAGTAGTGAGCGCGATGATTGCAGCATTGAAACTCTCATAATCGGTTTCCAGTTGAGCGAGCGTAAAAATTGCGCTTCAAAAAGTCCGTTTCGAGTTAAAAACGTTGGCCAACTTTTCCTAATTACTCAAGACAGTCGGTCGGAAAGGCGATTCGGGCCACTAACTCAAAAATTAATTAAAAGGGTTAATCAATTTTAAGTTAAGGACTGACGCCCCTCCTTCCTCGCAAACGTTCTCGACATTATCCCTCATTATGGTTAGCCCAACTGTGACTTCATTCCCTACAGGAATTTATTCATACCAAAATCCTTTTATATAATTTAAGAATAATGAACAAATTGTTATTTTAATTCATTTCATTTATGTTTCAGAAAATTTGAATGCGCCTGTTTTCCCGGATACACAGGTACAAGTTGTTCGGAAGGAAAAAACTCTTTGTGCACTGTCAGCGGTAAACCACAATGCAAAAATAACGGCTCTTGTCTGTAAGTTAATAAAAATATTTTAGTCGCTTTAGTTAAAAGCTTTTTTTACGATTTTCGAATTGAAAAAACGAATATGTGTCCGACATGTAATCACATCGCGATCACTCAAAAATAATAAACGTAAAATCTAAAAAAAAAACTTCACGTATTATTAATTCCGATGTACTATAAAATGTCAGTAAAACAACAAATGCAATTTTAGAGTTCTCTTGCATGTAAATTCACTTTATTTCATTACACTTGTTTCTTAGTAGATATACATGCATTATTACATACAACCCACAGACACAGCAGCAAGATCTTTTTTAACAACGTCGTAAAACATTTTAACGATAACCTTTCGGAAAAGTGATTAGCTTAAAAACTTTTCGTCCAACCTACAAGAAAACGCATGACACTACCGTGAAATTACGGCCTATAAATCCACAAGTCCCTTATAATGCATGCCGACCGTAAAATATTTTATAGTATACGAAAAACACAAGTTTTCCACTTCCGTATGTCCAAAGAAAGTTTACATCTAAGAAATGCTTGTTTACGCAACGAACCTAGATGGGAAAACAGAAAAGTTCTGACCGGGCAATGTTTAAAACGTTTACCGGAATCGATGAAATATTCATAAAACTACTTTTAGTAAAGCTCTTTACGAATAAATAAATAATAACGATATCGATTATGATAATAAACAGTGGGAATTTATTTTTCAGTTACCGAATAATTATTTTTTATTATTTTCCATTTGGGGATGGAAAGTAATTATTATTATTTATTTCAATTAATGAAACATTCTAAAGATTAAATCCAGTTTAGTCGCAAGGAACCTCAGCTTGATTAGAACAATTTATGCCATATTGATACAATATTGGACAGCAAATATTGGAGGGCCTAATATTGATGCTGTTTCAATGATTCTCTTTTATGTGTATATTGAATTAAAAAGTACTTCTATAATTCAATTTAATTGATTTTATGATATATTTGGTGGAGGTGCTTGGATTGAAGGATGCGTTTTATTGAAGTGAAACTGTTGTTGCAAATTTCTAAAAAATAAAATAATTTGAACGTTGTTTTATTTTCATTAAATATCATTGACACGTACATGATGCAGTATCAAACGGCCATAAAACAGTTTCATGACATTCTTCCAAACCATTACTTGGTTATATGGAAATGTAGAGGTGGCGCATAAAGGGTCATAGGTCGAATTTAACGACAACTCATAAAGTTTCCGGTTTAAACACGCGCATATTATACCTCACGATTCTCCAGTAAAATAATTGAATAAATCCCTTGTTACATACAATTGTATTCGTAATACAAAAATAACGAAGGATTCTTATACCGGGAATTTCATATAACTCGCAATAACCAATGCAGTAACCATAGTTACGAAACTAATATATATGTACTACTTGTCTAGTGTTAGTTCTACTTTTCGTTCAATAACCTAGAACTAGAAATGTTGAACACAGTGTCGTGGATTGTTAGCTGCTGACGTCACAGGCAAGCGTGGTGCTCACGCCTCGAATCAAACTGGTTTGATTTTTGTCGTGAGCTTGCTTGCGTATACCCGTTCAAGATGGCAACAAGTAGTGGAATCAAAAGTCGTGTAGTGAAATTACAAGACAATGAGACTCTGCGATTTCTCGAATTATATAGTGTTGAAAAAGTGTTGTATGATGCAACTAGCGAACAATATAGAAACCGCGATATGAGAATGGCAGCAGCTAAAAGAATTTCGGACGAGCTTAATATTCCAGGATTTGGATCAAAAGACGTAATATCAAAATTTAAAAACTTAAGGAGTTCCTATTGTCAAGAATTGAAAAAAATAGCCGACAGTGAGCGGTCTGGAGCCGGAACTGACGACATTTACAGGCCAAAAATTATCTGGTTTGAGCTGATGAACTCTTTCATTCGCCCATTCGTTCAGCAACGACCCACACAATCAAATCTGGTAAGTGTAATAAAAAATCATATTCTAGTTCAAAAAACCGCATTTATTTTCCCATTGGTACTTTGATTACATAATAATATATACAGGTGTTTCAAAAGTAGAACACCAAACTTAAACCCCATGTAGAACTTTTGATTTCAAGTCAAAATGAAAGAATAAATTTTTTTACGACCGGCTTGTGTTTTCGGGATAATAAGCTTCAACGTTTTATTTTCAGTGTCGGGGATAACAACTGAAAGTTTTATAAAAACAAAAACAACATTATTCTGGTAGAAAAATTAATTTTAGATCGAAAATAAAGAATAACATTTTTTCCTATTGGCATTCGTTCCATGGGAACGCGGCTTTAAATTGTTTACTCTGAGCTAAAGACAAAAGCCGATTGGAAAAAATGTTATCCTTTATTTCGATTTAAAATCTATTGTCGAAACCTACCAGAAAAGTTAGCTACTTTTTGTTTTTATAAAACTTTATAAAGTTTCAGTTTATGTTGAAAACAACAGCCGACCGAAAAAAAAAAGTATTCTCTCATTTTGACTTGAAATCTTGAAGTTCTACATGGGATTTCAGTTTGGTGCTCTACTTTTGAATGATCCTGTATAATACTGATTATACAAAATAGTGTATTGTTTATTGACAAGATCATTTGAATGCAACAATGTTTGGCACACTGTTGATCACATTGACATTGTACTATTAAATGTAATTTGCTATGTATGAACTACCTTATAATTAAGTACATTGAAACAGAATGGCATTTGAAGCTGATATCGTGCAAGGCAATTTAACACAATCAATGTTGAGACTGACGTACTCTACAGTTCTGCATTTGGCATATCATTCAGTAGTTGCCAGTAGTCACAATCACCATCTCAACATCAAAGTTCTGTTGACCATCTCAACGAGAAAGTGTCATCCACACCACAAATCACAGCAGGAACTGAGGCACCCAGAAGAACAGTTAAACGACAAATGCCTTCGACTGTGTCCCAGCCATCATCATCAAACAAAAAAGCTTTGCTCGACCCCCAAATAACTTTCATGTCTGGTGCCATTGAAAAATTAGAAAATATTTCAAATCGTGCTGCACTAATTACGAAAGAAGATACCTATGATCATTTCGGTAAATATGTTACGTAGTATTGGACCTCCAACCGCCATGAGACTTCAAGAAACAATTACTTCTTTCATAATTAATGCAATGTGCCCACCACCAACTCCATCCAATCAGTCAGCAGACCTAACAAGTGGAACAGAGTCAAACATGAGTGGTTTTTCTGAAGAATTTTTTTTTACAAAGTTATAAGTCGAGCTAAGTAGTCCTAATAAAAATACAAAAAATACTTTATTTGTTAGTTACCTTTACCTACTATAATAAAATACGTAAAATAAGAAAAAATGTGCTTTAATTTACTTACTTGTATAAATTCTCTAAGTGTCTTGTGGATAGCTTCGCAGGTCTCGGGTATGAATTTACTAATTGTGTTTTTTGGAACACGAAATAAAAATTCCAAACTTTTGAAAGAGTCTCCTGTGGCTAAATATCGCAAAGTCACCGTAAGTTTTGTTTTAGCATTTACTGCTTGTCTCATATTTGTATCTGATTTTGAAATCAGTGGTGAAACGCGTTCCAGAAGGTAATCAAACTCGGCTTCAGACATTCGTAACAAGTTTTTAAAATCCTCAGTGTAATTACTTCTTAGCTCTCTGTCAACCAAATTATGTGTCCCCGATTTCCTTTGAAGTATCCACTTTCTAACCCACCATCGTCTTTTCTTCCGTTTTTCTTTCGATTTTGCCAACCGATTTATTCTTTGTGCTAAGATAGCACCAAAAACCGAACTGACCACAGCACAAGTCTCGATAAGCAGCTCGTTCATGGTCGACTTTCCGCGATCAAGTGAATCACGTTTTCGTTAATACGAAAGTCAGTGTGAACGGTCCACGCTCCACGACTGGTAGGGTCCTTCCAGCACATACACGAAAGCAAGTACGAAAGCGTGATACCAGAATGATTCTGGATTTATTGCTAGTTCTACTTTTCGTTCAATAAAACTAGAATTAATACTAGACCTAGAAACAGAAATGTTAGTTCTAGTTTTACACTAGCACTATTAGTAGAACTAATACGAGACCTAGAACTAGAATCATTCGGGTTTATTATTATTCGGTGTATATGGCTCTATTTTTATCGATGTAATTATATTTCTTGACGTTTGATATTTACTTTAACGAGAGGTTGCCCTTTAAGTTATAATTGAAAATGTAAAGGACTTTTCCGAGAGAACAGAGTGCTTAAAATTCAAAGTTGTCGGGCGAACACGTTTGCAACATCTGGTTCCAGGTTTCTGCATTTGTTTATTATGTCCGAAAAGTTTTCATTTTAGGGGATGAGGAATTTATACATTCCACTTGAAAGAATTCCGAATGTAATGATGCTTGAAATTTAATTAATTGACTTGAAAACAATTTTGTTTTTGATTAATACAGTTAGGAAAACGGACAAAATTTACTTTTACGCTTATCGATTACTCGGATTATGATTCGTTTTTGGAAAAATTTTTATTAACACTCATAAAGAGATCGTATTTACTCGATAATTTTAGCTAAAAATGTGAAACGTAATAATTATATGGTATGGGAATAATTGTGTTTCGCGTTTCGACGGTTTCATCTGTCGTTATAGATCATACTTCGTCTGGGTTATAAACGAGATTAATGAGGGTAATATGTATAGGAGCCTCCACGCCATGAATAGTTATTGTTTCAGTAAATATTTCCGTTAAGTTGAAACACCGTGATGAATGCGAACCGTTATTTTACGTGGAAGAGTTTACATAAAGCATGTGGTTCATTAATAATAGCCATAAAATACATAATTCAAAGAAGCGAAATGCAATAATACGTACTTAATTCGAATCGTGGTAATTCCAATACGAACGACGATGGCAAAAAAATTGACTTTTTCCGGACTATCGCCCCGCGCGCCGCTCTCGGTTCACATTATAATTTCAGTAAGTGTTTCATCGCTGAAAGCTCTCCTGAAAAAAGCTCTCGTGCGCAGCGAAATTGCCCCAGGTGATATATTGCAATTGAACGTGTACCACATACCGAGGCCGCGAATGCATTTTTCAACAACCGACTGAAACTCTGAAATATCTCCAGTTTATTCCCAGATAATTCTAATTAATCTGAGTAATCTAACGCAAGGTTCCATATAAAGGCTAAATTACGTGCGCCCTCGAGCAATGGACTTAATCGAAATCTTAAATCAATCTGACCGAACACAATTTCGAGTGCGATTTAACTCGAATTGAACAAAATTAAAACTTGGATATTATCAATATAATATATAGAGGGGATAATCAATACTCTTCATGCAACTTCATAAGACATTAGAGAAGCACGATCGACAGGAAACGGTGCAAGCTAAATTAATGAATGTAGCGATCCGTCACTGTCATACAATCTTCTATTTGGATAGCGAACAGGTCACATTGTTGCCTGAACTAATAGGGCACAGTTCGAGCTGACATATATTGAGTTGCGAGCAATAGAGATTTAATAAACAGTGAGAAACCCCTGATGGCGACGTCAATCAACAGAAATTCCAAAATAAATTTACATTATGTACATTCCATTTACATTCAAACCAAGTTCGCATAAAGATATAAACAATGTATAAAAATCAAATTAGATTTGGTTCTATTAAATTTCCAATACTATGAATTGCATTGTTTGCGTTCTTCCAAAGAGGAGCGTATACAAGTAAATCGTTCAGTTATCACAGAATGCACCTTGCGGAAATATTATGGCGGTCTCCGTCTAGGAACAGCCGAGTTAGTGTTGAGGTTAATATAAACGACCCCACTTTGCTCGGCATAATTGTGCTGGTACTATAAATGAGGCTGCAAGCCGGGAAATATAAAAACCGTGCCTCTGGCCGAAATAAAACTGCCCAGTTCCTCATTCTCCCAACTAGCTCGGGGAACTTTTTCCCTTTTATTATGCTGCTTTTATCAAGCTGCCTCTGGATAAAAAAGGAAGACGATTGTTTACATAAGTACCTATTTTCATTTCGTCTACGTGTTCTTTCATCTTATTAACCTAATTGAATTGATTCGACTTAAATGTCGTATATAAAATGAAAATAAAATTTTTCGTTCTCATTTCAAAAAAAAATACCGATGAGGTATTAAGAAGTTTAATGTATCTCCAACAAAAGAAGATTGAATTTTCAAGTAATACTGCTTCGGATTATGTAAAGCTTCCGTTACGCTCTGAATGGTTTCAATGTATCAGACGACGAGAGAATGCTACTTTTATTTTTGTTTATTCGCATTCGTATTTGATAACAAGAAAAAGATTTAAATACGAAAGCTTTCATGACCGATGTTAATTGAAATAAAAGTAGAACTAATATTAGCAGTATCACTAGAACTAACACTAGACCCAGTATTATAATCTATTTTTTAATTCGGAGGAGTGTTTTCAAATTGAAGCTCCCAAAAAGAGGGGTTGCTATTGGTTAGTTTTAAGCAAAAGTTACACTTCCAAATGAAGCCGTTTAAAAACATTCAGGTTTAGCCGCACGTTTCTCAATATGGCTAAACCCGAATGCTTTTAGTTTTAGGTCTAGTGTTAGTTCTAGTTTTACGCCAGCAGTATTACTAGAACTAACAGAAGACTAGTTTTACACTAACACTATCACTAGAATCATTCGGATTTAGCCGCACGTCTCTCAAGACGGCTGTCTTGTCTATTCAGCAACATAGTACTTGTCATACAACATAGTCATATCTTATTCTAACTAGCGCTACCTACCACTGCCACTAGAACTAACACTAGACAGAGAACTAGAAACATTCGGGTTTAGCCGCACGTTTCTCAATATGGCTAAACCCGAATGCTTTTAGTTTTAGGTCTAGTGTTAGTTCTAGTTTTGCGCTAACAGTATCACTAGAACTAACAGAAGACTAGTTTTACATTAACACTATCACTAGAATCATTCGGGTTTAGCCGTCTTGAGAGACGTGCGGCTAAACCCGAATGATTCTAGTTCTATGTCTTGTCTATTCAGCAACATAGTACTTGTCATGCAACATAGTCACATCTTATTCTAACTAGCGCTACCTACCACTGCCGCTAGAACTAACACTAGACAGAGAACTAGAAACATTCGGGTTTAGCCGCACTTCTCTCAAGACGGTTAAACTTGAACGATTCTAGTTGTAGGTCTTGAGTTAGTTCTAGTGATAGTGCTAGTGTAAAACTAGAACTAACACTAGACCAAGAACTAGAAACATTCGGGTTTAGCCGCACGTTTCTCAATATGGCTAAACCCGAATGATTCTAGTGATAATGTTAGTGTAAAACCAGTCTTCTGTTAGGTCTAGTGATACTGTTAGCGTAAAACTAGAACTAACACTAGACCTTCTCTGTCTAGTGTTAGTTCTAGTGGCAGTGGTAGGTAGCGCTAGTTAGAATAAGATATGACTATGTTGCATGACAAGTACTATGTTGCTGAATAGACAAGACATAGAACTAGAATCATTCGGGTTTAGCCGCACGTTTCTCAATATGGCTAAACCCGAATGCTTTTAGTTTTAGGTCTAATGTTAGTTCTAGTTTTACGCTAACAGTATCACTAGAACTAACAGAAGACTAGTTTTACACTAACACTATCACTAGAATCATTCGGGCTTAGTCGTCTTGAGAGGCGTGCGGCTAAACGCGAATGATTCTAGTTCTATGTCTTGTCTATTTAGCAACATAGTACTTGTCATGCAACATAGTCATATCTTATTCTAACTAGCGCTACCTACCACTGCCACTAGAACTAACACTAGACAGAGAACTAGAAACATTCGGGTTTAGCCGCACTTCTCTCAAGACGGTTAAGCTTGAATGATTCTAGTTTTAGGTCTTGAGTTAGTTCTAGTGATAGTGCTAGTGTAAAACTAGAACTAACACTAGACCGAGAACTAGAAACGTTCGGGTTTAGCCGCACGTTTCTCAATATGGCTAAACCCGAATGCTTTTAGTTTTAGGTCTAGTGTTAGTTCTAGTTTTACGCTAACAGTATCACTAGAACTAACAGAAGACTAGTTTTACACTAACACTATCACTAGAATCATTCGGGCTTAGTCGTCTTGAGAGGCGTGCGGCTAAACGCGAATGATTCTAGTTCTATGTCTTGTCTATTCAGCAACATAGTACTTGTCATGCAACATAGTCATATCTTATTCTAACTAGCGCTACCTACCACTGCCACTAGAACTAACACTAGACAGAGAACTAGAAACATTCGGGTTTAGCCGCACTTCTCTCAAGACGGTTAAACTTGAATGATTCTGGTTGTAGGTCTTAAGTTAGTTCTAGTGTTAGTTCTAGTTTTAGTTCAATAAAAATGTGCAACATAGTGATATTTTATGCTAACTAGCGCTATCTACCATACCAGCTGTCTTAAGAGAGGTACAGCTGAACGAAATGTTTCTAGGTCTAATGTTAGTTCTAGTGCTAATATTAGTCTAATTTTAGTGTAATATCGAATTATATTGACATGTTGCATTTTATGTGGGACAAAGTAGGTACGCCCTGCTTTTTTTTTATTTAAACGAATAAGTAATTAAATTCGTAACTACAGTTTACTTAAAATCCTCTCTGGTTTTAAAACCACCGCCAAAAAATAGCTTTGAAAAATTACACTGTGTAAACGTGACTATTCATTTTACTCTTCCGAATTAAAAAATAGAGTATAGAAACATTTGGGTTTAGCCGAGCGTTTCTCATAACGGTTAAATCCGAACGTTTCTATTTCTAGATTTAGTGTTAGTTCTAATTTTAGTTCAACAAAAAGGTTTTATTACAATTTCATAATGAAATAAAGTATTTAGGTACAATTCTAGGATCCGCGTAGTTTTAACATTTCACCCACCCTCAAATTGAGAATTAATACGAGTTTATAGCATATTCGAGTTTCTCTCGAGATTGTCAGCTGGGAAATTACCAGCTGACGTGCTACCAACTTTGGTCATATATTACACTTGAAATCTTACGGTAAAAATTTGAGCGTAAAAAATAGCAGCAACTTTTAACACCTTGTATTTGGGTCGGGAGTTTTGATCATCAGCAGATTACCAATACCCTTTATCGAAAGCTGCGGGCGTAACCCTGCCGTATATCAAGCTTGAAACGTTCGATTTCAGACTCGGATTCGCGGACCGTAGGACGGTGTCAGTACGGAAACCGAAACTCCGTAACTTTCCAATTTAAGGTCGGAGGTAAGCCATTGATAGTTGACACTTTAAACCCTCGCCTCTGAGCTCTGTGTTCTGGAATTTATACCGATCCGGAAACCACAAGCTTAAACACCGCCCTCTCAGGCCAATGCCCCCTCTATTTCAACTAGATTGCTTTATGGCTAACCAATAAATTGAGTAACATGTAATATATCAATAGGTTTTAAGTAACTCTCGTTTATTTCTTTCAGACATGTTGGTGACTCTTCCGTGAAATGCATTTGCTCGAAAGGATTTTCAGGAGATTTTTGTACCGAAACGGAAAAATCGTCTCCAATTAAAACAGGTATGGCATTAATAATAAATAACATTTTTTTTTTCATTTAATTCATGTCAAACGGAAGTCAGAAATAAAGACACGTTTAAAGACAATTTAAACAAAAACGTTTCTTTCTAATAGTATTAATGTAAATAATTTACATTTATCTTAAAAGGGATTTTGTAATGAATTGTCTTAGTATCGAAGCAAGGGCAATCTTATTAGAGTATCTCTAAGTCGACTACCTTCCCTACAATGACTTCATAATCCAGACGAAGATTTACAAGATAGGGATTTCGCGTAACAGGATTTTCCAATATCGTTTCCCACCTCTAGGGACTATTAAGAAAGAATAATTGCGTTTCTAGGTCGTAGAGGAAATAAAAAGTTATCAAGGGACGAATCTTACGTTGAAAACCCGAGTTGGACAACGAAAGTTACAAAACCTTCTAAAGACTGATTTAATCTCTTTGACAGTTCATTGACGTAACTGTTCATCTTACGATAAACGAAGGAACGGCTTATTTAATAGAGGCAAAAGGGGCTTAGTTACAAATTCCTTAATCCCGTTCACGAATCATTTTGACTTCCGCATTGGCCTTAAACTTTATCTGCCCCACGAGGACGATGAAAACGGCTTTAGACGCCACGGCAAGAAACACTTTAATTAGTTGAGGGGACGCCAAACTTTTCAACGGCCCAACTCGCGAATTTGTCGAGGGGTTAATAGAATTTTCGAACTTTATTAAGTCCGCCAATACTAAGAAAATAACTGCACCCTAATGTAATAACGAAAACAATAGTGAATCGTGAACCAGAGTGCCGTAAGCTTGGTGTTTTCATTTCTAATTGGACGTCTCCGTCAAGTATTAGGAGTCGTTCTCTGTTATCTATCGGGGATAATGTATTCACAGAGAGCGAACAGTTGCTGCTGCAAGGGATACTCAAGCAACTTCTGCACATGTTTAATTAAGTTCTCAGAAGGAAGCTCGGCTACAGCGTTGCCGTCTCGCATTGTTATCGCGCCGTTGCATTAGCGCTCGCCTACGCAGGTACTATCCTGTAACTACATTAAAGTTAATGGCAACCGTCCTGAAATTTTCAACTACATCAGTACCTCTTCTCCCACGTAGACTCCTTTACGTATTAATGTTCTTGAGGAAAACATTAAATCTCCTACTTTGTCTCTTAGTATTTCCAACATAAATCAACGTCATTTCATTTAACACTAATAAAGTTTTGTTGTACGAAGCTTTTATATGTTTATCTAATTGTTTGTCTAATTGTGTTATGTATCTTTCCGGATTTGTATTTAGAGCCACACAGTTTTTAGTACAATAAGGCATTTCGTGAGCTCTCAGGTCATTAGAGTCCTTAAAATTTAAAAAGCATATTCGCGTTTTAAATTTTGTTACCTTGTATGTATGTATGTAGGAAAGCGGAGGGTATGCTACGCACACAGCACCTAGGCCCCAACGGGCCCCTTGTACATCCTCCTACACTGTCTCCGGCTACATCAACCAGCCTAAGGAATTTCCGAAGGCTAGGATACAGCTCAGAGGTGTGTTCCTGATGCCATCTGTGGTCGGCCATTCCTCTCCGAAGTCTCTCATTCTGAGGTCTTGCAGAGTGGGGCATTCACACAAGATGTGTCGGACCGTCTCCTCGCTCTCTTTACAGAGGCGACAGAGAGGACTAATAGCAAGCTTAAGGTTATAAAGATGCTTGTTTACCTTACAGTGACCCGTGACGAGTCCCGTTACAGTTCGTAGAGCGTTTCTACCAAGCCTTACGAAAGACAAGGCTGCCTCTGCTGAAGGATAATGTAATACTTCCTTAGACAGATGGCAACCCTTAACCCTATCCCACCAGTTCATGAACTTTTTGTGGGTAAAATCTTTAATTATCTCAATCTGAGTTGATAAGGACGGAGCGATTATCGGTTCAGGCGAACATGGCGCTCGCTTGGCAGCCCTTTTGGCAAGCCTATCAGCGTGCTTGTTACCTGAACAAGTCGAGTGTCCTTTTATCCATTGAAGTATGACACAGTTATGCACTGCGGCCTTCTCCAATGTCAGATGACAACCCATAACAAGTCCTGAGGTAATTGTTATTCTACTCAGGGCTAAAATAGCTTGTCTACTGTCAGTATAAATTGTAAAAGTCTTACCTACCAAGTTGGATCTGACAATAACGTCAGCGGCAAGTTGTATGGCGATTAACTCCGCCTGTATGACGGTGGTACTTATACCTAAAGGTTCAGATACGTGGAGTCGGAGATCGTACGAGAAGACTCCGGCTCCAGCTCCTTCCCGTCTCTTTGAACCATCAGTGTAGATTTTAAGGCTGTTTTTTACCTCTACTTCTGTGGAGCTTGGGTGGGTGAGATATTTCTTCGTAAAAATGTGTTGTAGGGGTGTAAAGTCCGTTACACACTCCAGAATTGGTGAGTAATCCACCATTTCATTCCAGAGATTGGCATTTTTACTATTTCTCTCACCCATTAGAATTCCTGCTGCTCGCAGTCGAGTCATGGTCACCAATGCCACCTCTTGGATGAACAAATGAAGTGGCGTTAGGTTTAACATGTTTTCCATGGCTGCAGTGGGGGTAGTCCGCAGCGCACCTGTAACATACAAACACGCAAGTCTCTGTACTTTATTAAGTGCAGTAGTGGATGTAGACTGTAGGGTCTTTGACCACCATACTACTGCACCATAAGTAAGCATAGGTCGGATTACAGCCGTGTAAATCCAGAGGGCATTTCTGGGTGACAAACCCCATGTCTTACCTATAGCCCTCCGGCATTGACCGAATGCAACGTACGCTTTTTTTACTCTATTATCTAGGTGGGCTCTCCATGTCATTTTATTGTCAAGTGTTGTTACCTTTTTCAATATAATACTGTATTATTTTGTTTTGTTCGATTATAAATTTTTTTATGCAAACCAATTTTTACAAATTAATTAAACAAAACGATAATTCACACAAAAATATGTTATTTGATTCGCAAAGAACAAAAATACATTTCTAAATCAAATAGAACATGAATCTCAGGAAATAAAAATAAATCGCAAGTTCATGGAGACATCTATTAACTAAATTTCTAAATTTTCGAACTAAACATAAAAAACTAACCTAAATAAATACGTCTGTGCAAGAAAGAGGTAACTCGTTTAGAAGAGTGTTGTCGCAGACAATGTTTATACGCGTTCATTTTATGAGTGTCTTTTAAGTTTGATATTTAATCGCGATGGTTATAAAAATTAAAGAGTTCTGAAGAAACGGAATGGTTTAAACGAGGAGCAGGTATAACGTTTGATTACCGATAAAAGGAAATATGTTCACTTATCTTGTTTCTTTCCGGAGGTGTGACATGTCGGTTAAAAATGGCTGGCTGACCTTGATCTTGAGGGATGGGTATTCTTCGGTGTTAGATGTTTAAGAATCTCGGAAAATTTAGTTCTCGGGTCCTTCGGAAACAAGATGGGAAATTGGACTCGAACTCAGGTATGGTTTAGATTTCTTCGAAGATAATTCACAAACACTTGTTTACTTTTACTTGATAAAGAAAATTGAGTTGTCAAAAAAAAATTCTAGGTTAGAAAATTTAAAGTTAATTTGACGTAGATTCGACAACGCTTGGCTCTAGCCAAATTTGAACTATCTTCCGTGTCAATTTGCGCGGCCTTATATACCCTTTTTGGACAAAGGTATCTTGGATATCCAAATTTGACCCTCTCAGTTTGAATCTGAGCTCTCTGATTGGTTGATTAAATGGCGGGAATTATAAATTACACAGGTTGGCCAAAATAATTAATTTTTTTAAAGAAAATAACTATCAATTATGAAAATATTCGAAATTATTAATAAACTTTAAATTTGATTAAGATTCTGTAATTTTGTAGCTAATTTTACGTTTTTTTAGATACACGCGCTTTCGGGTGTCAATTTCCTTCGAAAAAGTCGTAATTTTGTAATTGATGTTTGGAAATGAAAAATTGGAATTTAGATATAAAAAATGATACCGAAATGGATGAAATTGCGGCCTATGGGTTAAATCGATACAATCTATCGATCTCGCATGTTTTTAGAATCTAAAATCGTGTGAAAAGTCTCCAAAATCAATAGCTGTCAAAAATGTAAATGACAAGGTCAAATTTGAAGGTCATGGACGTCAATGAATTACCTTTTTCTTGCACATTGCCCTAATTTTTCTTAAATCTAAACGAAAATCATAACAAAATGTAACTACTTAGCCTAATCCATAATACTGTTTCTTCAGAAATAAGCACCTAACCTAAGGTGCTTATTTTTGTGTTCTGTATTTCATTCAGGTTAGTATTTCTCCTTATTTTTTTACACCATAATTTTATAAGCAATTAATCTTACAACAGTACTAAAAATAGCTACAAAAAGACGGAAATAAATTTAATTGCCAAACGTGCAAAGTCAGTAATGACTCTAGAAAAAAAATTCAAGTTCTTGATATGCTCTGGGAAGGGAAAATAGCTACCGAAGTAGGTCGGATCTTTGGTGTCAATGAATCTATGATAAGATCTATAAAGAAACAAGAAGATGGAATCAGAAATAGCATAAAAAGTGGCATACCTTCATCATTAAAGGTATCACAATGTAAATATTGAAAAAATGGAGAAGTCGTTTTAGCTTTGGATTGAAAACCAAGGTCGCAGAAATATATCATTAACTAGGGCTAGATTAATGGATAAAGCCAAAGCACTTTATCAACATTTTTCGGGTGATATGAATTGTGCTGAAGATGACTGTAAATTTAAAGCAAGCAGGGGATGGTTCGAAAGATTCAAATCTCGTTTTAATCTCCATAACATAAAGTTGTGTCGAGAATCAGTTTTAGCTGATCATCAGCAAGCTGCAAAATTTCCTGGTGAAATAATAAAATTAGTAGAAGAAGGTTGTCTTATTAACTGGGCGAAGCACAAAATTTAAAAATGACCTCAATTTTCTTCTTGCTCCTTACAAAGAGCTTCAGAAGGATATGCAACATAAACCGTTGCAACCTACTATCCTTCCATTTTTTAAACCATCATGTTCTAAAGCAGTTATTCTTGATGAGGATATTCTTGA